ATTAGAAGTTTTTAGATTATTTAAGTCGGGTACCCTACTTTCGGGCCATCCTCCTTTTGGGCCACTTTTTACACCAAAAATGGAATTTTTAACTTTCTTATTTATTGATAGAATTTATTGAAAGTTTATATATATATAATTTAGATCATTTTTAGTTTAGCTTGAAAATTTCAGATTTTTAGGAATTTTCTGTATTGAGATCTAGAGCTTCAAAATATCGATTTTTAAATTTGTATGAGAATCACATATAAATTTAAAAAATTTATAAAATCTTTAATAACTTTTTAATAAAAATTATTAAAAATAAACTATAAAATTTTATTATAAATTTATAATATGTTTATTTTAAAGAATTCAAAAAAAAATTCCTATAAATAGATATTTAAAAGAATACCCTCAAAATTACAGGGATTATTTATACTACTTCAAACTTACTGTATACTATATCTTTATATCTGTTAATTTTTTTGAATTTTTTTTTGAATTTCTATATAGATTTAAACTCAAAACTTTCAAAAAAATATATAGTTTTCTTTTAATAATTATTATTAAAAAGTTATTAAAGATTTTATAAAAGTTTTAAATTTATATGTGATTCTCATATAAATTAAAAAATCGATATTTTAAAGCTTTAGATTTCAATACAGAAAAATCCTAAAAATCTAAAATTTTCAGATTAGATTCAAAACAATTTAAATTATATATACACAAATTTTCAATAAATTCTATTTATAAATAAGAAAGTTAAAAATTCCATTTTTTGAGATTTTTGATAATAAAGAATGGCTCAAAACAGGGGTGGCCCGAAAGTAGGGTACCCAACTTAATAAAGGAGAAGTAGAATTTTAATTAAAAGAAGTATAAAGAGGAGGTAGAAGTTAATATTATTCATTAGTAATATAAGAATATGAATAATCGAATTGTATATATTAAATCCTATGATTTTTCTATTTATAATTCCTACAATTATTACTGAAATATCTCTATATATAATAATAATTTGGAAAGAATACAAACTATAACAATAATATTCCCTATAAAAATCCTTAATAAGAATTCTATGATTTTATATTAATAAGTTATTTATATATAATATTTATATTGTATAAATTTGTACAGGTGTAATTTAATTGTATATATATGAAATAGGATTATTTAGTATTATTAAAAGAGTAAATACAGCCCCTGGCATTGAAGTTAAATTGCTAAATTCGGTTGCGACGATCACGCCGCTCAAATAGTCCCTTATCTTAGCACGTCTAAATACCCTTAGGGAGGTTCAAGACAGACGTTAATTAATATAAAAAAAAAAAAAAAAAAAAAAAAGAGTAAATTAAAGATTATTATAACAATATGATATAAGAACTTACCTATTAATAGAAAGAATAGAATTTTGATTTAAATCTACCGTTGTATTTGTTATATTATATAATTGAAGGATTATATTTATACGAAAATATTAATATATTATATACAATATAAAATCAATAATAAATATAGGATAATTAATAATGTAAACTACTTATATTTTGATAAAAATTAATATATATTTCGAACAATCAATTAAATTCGAATTTTCTATAGTTTCAAAAGAATTAATATCATACCGAATCTAAGCATATTATTCAATACAACCAGAAAATATATATATAATAGGATGATTTAGATTTTAATAGTTTTAATGATTTTCTAATATAATATTTGATTAATTTAAGACAAAATTTACTATACTTGTTTGATTTATTATAGGAAATAGAGATTAGATTAAGTAATAAGATAACTACCTATTACAAGTTCTAAACATCAATCTGTTTTATACAAATTCTATTCATATAAAAAAAAAAGTTAAGTCTATATTGAAACATATAATTAATAATATAATATTACATATTACACTTTATTCTATATATATATAAAATTTATAAGTAAGAATAGTATATATATATAAATATAGCAATTCCCTCTTCATATAAAAAGAGTAGATAGAAATAAACAATCCTTTTACTTATACATATTATATATATATGTCTTACTAAGTTTGCTCAACAAAAATGCTTAATTTATATGAATGTAGAAGTGGAGAACTTGGCGTTCCACTGCTATTTCAGATGCTCCTACGATAGTCAAAAACCCTTGAGCGCTACACCCCCCGCAGTGGAGAATGTAGAGCAGGTACCATGAAGATCGAAGTCGAAGTTGTCCCACAATTCTCAGGCTCGACAACCTCTTTTGCTTATCATTGCGATCTCGTATTTTGACTTTTCATAGAGAAAGGTACAATGTTGCTCCATAACTTGGCATTGGAGTCCGGTAATATGCGGGAAAGCAGCGCCTAGAGACCCTCTCGAGATAATCTTCGCTCTTAGTTGGGCTTGCAGTCATTGCACCACCGTAGTATTGCTTTGCAATGATTGTCTAGTTTACACCGAGGAATCTTGTATCCCCAAGATCAAAATCTACCACCCACACTCCAGCTATTCATCAGCGAGCTTCTGGTCAAATCTTCTGTTGCAAAAATGTCATTCATAAAGCTCTTTTTGGCCGACAAGACAACAAAGTATGTCTCTGTTGAAGACGGCTCCGACACCGAAGATCGAGCTACAGTGACAACCAGCCATTCTTCAAAGGTATCAATTTCTAAGTCGTTCTACTTTGCGTCCTTATTCTTGTTTGCCGTCTTTCCAATCCTTATTATTGCCCTGTTTGTGCTACATGACCGTCTCGCCCACGCCCAAATCAACAGCGGTTTTCTCAAAGGCTTCACTACCGAGTTAGGTATTTAATCTTATTCAATGGGAGTCCAGACCACCAGCTAACCATACGATATTCCAAAGATCCAATCAAAAGTGTAATTTCTGAGCAAACTGTTCGATTCACTGGTGGTCTTCACTACCACAAGAACGGAACATTGCACCGAGAGACAATCGAAGGAGAGCCTCAGTATGTCGGACCACCCTCACCAGAGATAGATGCAGCATGGAATCAACTACTCAAAGGTAAGTAATTAGATGTAATGATTACCACATGCAACTCATAGATGTAGGTCAATATATGAACCTTATTGGAGACGAAGCATCAAGTATGGCCGACCGGACATGGAAAGATGACCATGGAAACTACGAAGTTGCGTAAGTTTAGTAACCTCCTGCAATTCAAGTCTTCTAAAAGCTGATGAATTAAAAAGTCTAGATGTGATGCATACCCTTCATTGTGTGGTGAGTTAACATAAATGATCTGAAGCGCCTTCAGCCTGCCTAGCAAGACAGTTAACAAAGATTTAGAACAAAGTGAGGATGGCTCTAGACCCAGATTATTATCCTAGAAAGGAAAGCCATAGAATCCACAGGATGCACGTTGGTGAGTAATGTAATATACCTCGTACAAAATAGCATCGCTGATGGTGACTATAGACCATTGTGTCGACTACCTCAGGCAGACTGTACAGTGCCATGGGGATCTCACCCCCATGGTTTTCAGCTGGTCAGATGACGCTGGTAGAGTGGTGGCTGATTGGAAAGAACCTCACACTTGCCGGAACTTTCATCAAATCCGCAGTTGGGCTGAGGATCATTTCCGTCCGTAATTCTCACCCGTTGTACCATAGCTTGCATGCCACCGATTTTGGGTAGATTGCGTAGACTGAATTGCAAAGAAAAAATTCTCTCTCTGGTCTCCCATATTTGAATGATGGGATAATGATAGTTTTACATGATTTCAATTCCTCCGGTTCTGCAGTAGTCTCGTGGTTACCCCTAAGTTCGTCTTGAACAGTTTTTGTCCACATTCACGCCTTTGAATTTACAGTTCGACATGGTCTCGTGGCTTTGTTAGTAGTAAGGGTACTTGGATATAAGTCCTCTAAGTGTTCAGTGTCCTATCTTCAGCGGTCGAAGCAAGAGACCTGGCCATTTAACTGTTTCAGAATGAAAATGTGACAGATAAGTGGTTGCAGCCTCTACTTGTAAAACTTGTGAGGATTTACGTTCAGAAGTACATGCAAAGCGTAACCCAAAGTATCAAAGCGATATCAGCAATTCCCCATGTCCTCAAAATAACCGAAACCAGATTGTGTAATTTCATAGACCATAATTCTGTGATAGATAGGTAAATGTATTTCGTTGTGGTGTCCTTAAATGCCGCTACCCCATCTAGCAAGTGCCTAGAAGCCATTTACTTTTCGATGCCTACTCACACTAGGGGAAAGAACTCAAAAAGAAGGAATCAAATTTTTGGAAAGTACACTTCAAAGCACCTCGGAAGTCCCTCAGAAGAGTCAGAGCTGGCCTCTAGAGAACTGATTCATTCACGGAGTGGTGATAGTGAAGCGATATTCTGATTAGTCATGCGAATATACATTTTTAAGAATACCTTCCATGGCCAAAGGTTTCCTTTCCAAGATATCATTGCGAGTGGCTGAATATCTCGGAAGAAGAAAAGAAATTAGAAACAAAAATTCACTAATTCAAGTGAAGTGAGTAACCTATTGTTCTGTAAATTTAGGGTGGCATTTCTCTCTAGTAAACATTTTCTCTCAAATATACTCGAGTACAGTTTACTCTTAGTCCTGGGCAAAGTAGATAAGTTATTCTGTTATGAGTCACCATACAAAGTCAGACTACTTATTCTGAATATCCTCGATGATCATGTTCCTAGTATTCATCGATTTAGCCTCAAACATTCCCTGACAAACACCTTCTTCATTCAAGTTCAATTGCTACCAAATAAAATATCATCATCTGGCAACGGAAATATCAAGCCCAACCTATCTTTCATTTGATCAACCGGAGCAAAGCTACGCTTCGTACCCGACTGGTCAATTATGAGCCTGAAAACTTCACGACCATTCTCGTCTTCATCGTTATCTCGATTATCATTGTTCTCTTCCTCATCTTCATTGTGAATGCTGAGGAGTGGACATCCATTCTCTTTGTACACTGTTGTTGTGATTGGACACGGTGGAGGCTTCATACCTAGTACAATTCCAGAAGCCGGTGCATTTATCATCTGCAGGTTAATATCAAAGTGTTCTCTATATCCCAGTCTTCTGCGTCAAATGTATCGGCTTCTATATCTTGCGCAATGTTTGTATTGGTATCTGCAAATATCACATCTCTTTTCTGACTATAATCCTCTTGTATCGTCTCGTAATGCTCCGGTAACCGTTTATGTGCTGCTGTTCGGGGCGAGTATTTTTGAGCTTCATGAGATCTTGGCCGACCTCCTAGACGAAAAAAATAAGAAGACCTGTAAACCCTAGAGGGAAAGTCGGATCAACGCGATTCAATTGGAGATATCATACCGAAGATAGATATAATTTTAACGTACCGACTGGATGCCATATGATACCAATTTACGGTCTTCTCACAAGTTAGCAACAGGTCATACAACGTACTAAAGTGACTTGCCGAATTCAAGCTGCTGGTCCGCGAAAGCTATTCTTTGTTCGTCATGTCGAATACTAGTAATGTTATGGATCTTGTCAATCAGATCGCCTGCAGTGGATTCGATAGAGATATTCAAATGAATGGCTTCGCCAGACAACGTATGCACAGTGATAGGTATGCGGTCTAGCTCGCTGATCCTTCGTGGTACGATCTCAAATTGCACTCTACGAGTACCGTCAGTCGCTTCAATTGACGATTCCGTTGACGGCGGGACGGTGTGATTTGGGATCGGGGCCGCGACAAACTTCATGATCTCGTCGCCTTTGATCTTGATAGCGTCCAAGCATCTTTGGCTAATAGTTCCGGCGATGATATAATCGTGAACTGACTTGTTTTCATAGATCGATGCTAAACGTCTGGGATCTACTGATAAGATTTCTTTATAAGGTTCTCCGGAGACGGCGTTTACACCATCGACAATGACTTTCACAGCGAAAATTCCACGTGATTCGAAATGAATCCACATCGCCTCTTGCTCTTTTGCTTTAGATCAGCATGATTCAACCTCTGGCATCATATCCAGTGAAATTTATGGAAAGAGAAATACTCACGATAGATAGGGATAAATATAACATCGTTTTTAGGTATAGATTGACTGATTTTATCCTTATAGACAACAATCGGGTAGATTGGAAAAGGTCCAAAGTCTGGAGGTACTCGGAAGCCATTGTCACTTTCTGGAACACGAAGAGTGTGTCGAAACAAAATGTCAAGAACATCTCCTTCCACATTACTGACACGGATTGGCTTGAAACCTGTTATGTCTAAGAGAAATTCTCTCAACTCAAGCGTCAAGCGGTTGTCGAAATCAACTAAGTCCTCCATTCTACCAGAGGTGCAGATCTATTTGGTAAGAATTAGATGATTTTGTAACCTACTTGAGGGCAGAATTGATGGCTACTTATTCAATGTGTCACCCGCCTCGCACAAGACCAAAAAAAAACCTTGTGACGTCAAAGGAGGATCAAAGCTCACAATCGTTATAAGCAAAAAAGAAGAGGGAAGAACAGCTATGAAGCACAGCAGAAATGAGGCAGAGTGAAAAAAGGTACGGTACAAAATTGCTCATCTCCGAAAGACGCAAGAAGTGAATTAATAATCTCTATCAACACAGGTGAGTAATGGGAAGTCAGGAAATAGGCCCCTCGCAATGATCAACAAGACAGAAAGTGAAGTCAAGATGAAACCAATAGTCAGGAAATCATTGGGATAAGGTTGAGGTCTACGAGTCTCAATCCAACGTAACCTAGTATTTAGATTCCACAAAATCCATATAAATCCAACATTAGAGACATAGGAGTGCGCTAACCACAGGGTATTTTTTGTAAGGCGTGATTGAATATGGAGTGAAGTTAGGTGTACGATACCTATGCTTTTATATAGACGAATAAGCGCAACCGCACTACTGTCATCACTTTCTATAAATAGAGGCCTATCAAATCCAAAGCCACCAGGTTCAAGCCGGATCCTCATCTATCACATGCACAGTTTCATCAACTAGCAATTCATAATTCACAATTCACAATTCACGCCCCAAAGGGACAAGAATCGAATATTCATCACTAGGTATCTGCTACAATACCCAGACCACCCATTCAGTTCCCACAACTTCCTCGCCCCAATCCCATGCCTACAATCGATCACACAATTCCCACACTCTATACCCTCTCTCACTCACCTTAGGACCCTTCTAATCCATCTTCCGAAGTCTCCAACAAGCTCGAGATTCTCAACTCAAGTCCAAATTCTCTTCAAGATTTAAAAGAATTTCCATCACCCCACAACAATCGGTAAAGCCCCATTGAACCGAGTACTTACAACTATCTTCGGATCTCTTTTCCCTTTTCAAACAATCTAGGAAAAGAAAACTCATAACCGAGGAATATTCTTTTCCCCAGACGATCCCTCACACACCCTTACAAGGGAGATCCCCGAACTAAGCAGACGTACCTATATCAGTCTCTTAATAGCTTGATCCCAACTCCACCCTCGAAGCCACAGCATCAACAAACATCTGAAATTTCAACATGAGAGTGTTATCTTTGTTTCAGTCTGTAGTGAGAACACCGATTACACTCTCCAAAATCTCTTTCTCAAGCATCTAAATATTCAATTGAAGGACATTACCTCTATCCCAATCCATAGCAGAAACAAAAATTTTACAAATTTTTTACAAACGATCGATCTAATAATAAAACCATCAGTCAAAATCGCCATCTCAGTCATTCCTACCTTCTCCTAATTCGAAATCTATAAGCGAATTACCCCCCCCCCCCCCCCCCTAACCTCTCTCCCACCAATCTCCAACCATTTAAAAAATCCATAAACCGCATGAGTTTAAGATAAAAATGACAGCAGAATTTCCATCAACATACCCAGAGACTTATCACTCAGAATCTTTCAATTCTCCACAAACCAGTACAAACAGATCAAATCCTATACCGCTGTTTCCCAAAGTTCCCCCTAGAATTTAGATACCAAATGCCTAGGTACTTGGAAAAATCGCAGACCCGGCAATTCTAAAAACAATTCTCACCTCGAACTATTTTCCAACCTAAAAAGCCCGAATTCAAAACAAATTCTCTTCATTTCCTTTTCTCCTTCAAATAACTAACTATTATTATTCTCCCATCAAACTTAACCCTCAAGTCAGAAAAATTACTCTAAAACATGTTACTACAAATTTCTATTAGTTCTTCAATATTATCCTTCTTTCTTGAGTAGACAAGGAGATAGCAATCGAATGAAAAATAGGTAGCTATTTCAATCCTGCAACTTACGAACTCAATCCTTCTATCGATTCTCCCCTATTGGATTCTATCAGAATATCAGCATCTCAATCCCATCCAAGTACCGTAACATCACCCATAGGAAAACTTAACAAAAACTCGCATTTCCATTATCAATTCCCTCAAACCAAATGTGCTCACTAATTCGGGACAAAACAATCCTAGTCCAAGATCAATCTTCTCATATCGAGACTTCAAAGTACATCCTGCATCCTCTATCCCGGATCCTGAATCTCAAATCTTTCTCTACCAACCTAATAACAACAATAGTAATAATAATAATATAAGTCCTTCGGACTCCAGAGTCCAGACCCTAAACTTGAATCTAATACTCTCCCTATACCATACTATCCCTATACCGTACTATCCCTATACCATACTCCCTCTATACCCTTATACCCCTTTACTACCACTCTTCTAATTCATTTCATTCTATCCCAAAATAAGAACCCCTCTAAATCCCCTCCATAATATCTTCCATCTTCTCTCTATATCATCGCCCCTCCACATCTTCTCCCTCTCCCCTTTCCAAAATATCTCCCCTCTATATTATCTCTTTTACACATATTCTCTCATTCTCACACTCCATAAGAATGTATTTGTATATTCCTTTAGATTCAATAAGATTCAATAAGATTCTTACCTTTTGTAAAAATCATATATACACATCTATCCAGACACAACACATTACAAAACACCACTACAATATAATTTCCGTTCAAAACTAATACAGAATAAGCATCAACTACCTCCCCTCTCTTCTGCTTCACCTATCAACAATCTCAGAACTAATCGCTCATCACTCATCCCTCATTCCTTGATCATCAATTCATCTTCATCTTCCTATCAAATTTCAACCCCCAAAAAACCTTCATTCCCTGATTCCCTGGTCAGTCCAAGAAAATAATACACACATCATGATTGAAATATTACTATCATCTACACCCCCCACCACCTATCAAATCCCTCCACCATCAAATCTCCCTCTCAACCCGCCTTACAAGATTTGATAGGTCTATTTTATACACTTCAATATTATTTCATACTGTACCATACTCAGACACCATCAATTTTTAAGACGACACATATGAATATTTCCTTTCTCCTCTCCCCCCAATCACAATCAACAACCAACAATTAACCCAAACATCCAGAAGCAAATCTATAAAACCATTCCCAAAACCATTCATCAAAACTCTCATTAAAACAACATGTCAAACTATTTCATCTCCTCTATCATAATCAGCTTACCCTCAACCTCCCTTTTTACCCTTTCTTACCTTCTCAAACTTCTCAAACTCCTCAATCTCTTTAATCTTTTAACCTTCTTATTAATCTTATTAATCTTCTCAAACTCTTCAATCTCTTCAACCCCTTCAACCCCTTCAATCTCTTCAATCTCCTCCTCACTCTTCCCTCACCTCCCCGAAATAAATTTCACTCCCCATAATCTATTTAAAAACGCAATGAAATGAATCTATCTCATTCTCAATTCTCATTACATCTATTCACCCATCCGCCCATCCATCAACAAACACCTATTTATCCAATCAATCTAGATGTCGTTCGAGTCTTTGGGAGACCCTCTAGTACACCAAGTGAGAGTTCTCATACGTATAACAATAAATAGACGGGATTAGGTTTGGCTTTTCATTTATCAATCATACTAAACCCAATCCTAACCATTTCCCAATTGTTCAATAATTTCAAGCGAATCGGAGTATATTAATTCATATCAAATACACTAGCACTCTCACCTGGCATATAAGAAGGTCTAATAAAAGTTAGGAAGACCCTCGACCTATAAGATTGCTATTCATCCACCTACCCACCTACCCACCCACTACATACCAGCCTCATCCTCCCCAATCCCCAAACAAATCCCCAATCAACCCTAATTATAAATAATTCGATTCCAAAATAGAATCTATTCAATCTAATTTTTTTTAATATAAAGTATTTATTTGAAAATATTTTATTTCAAATTAAAAAAAATTACAATCAATTTTAAGCTCGCTTCTTGAAATCAGGTTTAATAAGTTTAATGAAATTTTATCATATTGAATAATATGAGAATATAAGATACTTTATATATTTTATTAAGAGTTGAATAAATTCCTAAGATGAACATTATTTTTATATCTGTTAATATAATACGAGGTAATATTGAGAGGTGTGAATAAAGATTTCAAGAAAGAGGAGGTAAAGATTGAAAAGAATATAACGATAATAGAAGAGATTTTACAGCTTTATTAAAATCTAGTAAAGTTAATAAAACTAATATTCATATTTATATTTTCTATAATAAGAAAAGATATTAGATAAAGAATTATACTATGTTTACTAGAGCTAGAAAATCCTTTAAATTATTAGATAATAAATCTTCTAAAAAAGGTTCTTTTTATAGTACAATTACTCATTCAATAATAGCTCAATCTGAATATACTATTTCTCTTTATTTGAATAATATAATATACACTTAATCTCTCAATAGATATACGCGAATACTTGACTTCGAAGTCTCTAATCACTTCATTAGTATTCTTACGAGTCTTTCAAATATTACTTATTAAAATATATTACATACTATATACTATAACAACTAGTCGTTAACCCGGATCTGATAATCACTCCAGTACCGATTGTAACGAGTGGAAGCACTCAACCCACTCTAAGATGGCTTGGTGTCTTCTTCGATCGTCGGCTCTCGTTTCTACAACATGTCAAAACACGCACAGCGAAAGCCATGAAAGTAGCCTCGCACATCAGGTCGATCGCCCGCACTCTGCATGGGCCACCAGCTTCCTACTTGAGAAAAGCAGTGATCACCTGCGTCCTTCCAGTAGCACTATTCGGCACTGAAGTATGGTACGCTGGCAAACTCAAACCGAGCCTCGGTCAAAGCGAAGCAAGCACAGGCACAGGTATCAAAGGCCATCTCCGCTACATCAACAAAGTGATCAATACCGCCGCAAGAGGAGCGATCCCGGTATACAAAACTACACCGACCGCAGCTCTTATCAAAGAAGCCGGCCT